AATAAGAACTTAAGCATCGGACTAAAGAGGAGTATTCTTTCATGTTTGGAAGTTTCCAGAAAGACCACCAACGATTATCTTGAAAATTTTCAGCTTCGTAGCTTTTCGCCTCCCAAAAAGGTATAGACTGGTTCAAAAAAGCATCCTAATTTCTTCTCGCTTTTCAAAGAAATCTTTTTTTCTCTATGGCTGTGGTATGATTAGATTGAGTTGCAATATACAGTGAGATTCAATTTTCCAATTAAGTACAATACCATTAAATCAACTCTACGAACTTTCCTCTTAACAATGTGGAGAATCTTACAGAATTGTAGTTCATCAAGGATTCATTCGTGTTTGTGAGGCTCTGCAAAAAAAAAACCTGTTCCTGCTTTTGTTTACAACACAAATACATCATCATCAACTAGTTGTTATTTATATGAAAATGGCAGCAGAGGAAAGAAACAATGATTACTAGGTGGCAAACATGAATCGTAAATAATTGAACGCATCAAAATAAGTAAAGTTGCCAGCACAATATATACATTATAACTTTCCTGCTGTTTTGGGAACAATTCTTCAATTGCATGTTTTGCAGGAATGATATAGAGACCTTAAGACTAACATTCTTTCCCCTTGTGGTTGTCTTCGATAAAATCTTCCAAAAAATAATTTGCAGACTCGTGACTCCTTTGAAGTTGATAATTTTAACTTGCAAAGTATACATAGTTTAGTCACAATGGCTCAGATCAACATTTGAACCCATCGTTAGGAATTTGCAAACTGTAAAGGTTCTAATGTTCTCTCACTGCTTTTCATTTCAGAACACTGTAGCGAATGATTCTTCGCTGAGGCAGATCTCCGATGACGCATTCTACGTCGTCAATGAGGTGGTCACAAAGCGTCTTGGCCATATTCCAATTCACAAGGTTCGTTCATTATTCCTTGGCTCCCGTTAACTCTAATTTGTCACCCGGTGATGACCACTTTACGACCGTATAAATCCCTAAGTGACATAATTGTTAATGGCGTGGTGATGCAGAGCTGATCACCAATAGGAGTCATTGCAGTGAGTGTGCCCGTTTGGGATTGCAGATTATGGGTGTTAGG